TTTGTTGGGAGGAGAAACAAAGGCAAGATTAGTACTATAATAAGGAGCAACCCTATGAAGCTTTTTGGGCAGCTAGATAGATAATCAGAGGCAAATTTTTTGTTGTTTTTTACACAAGTGCTTTCGACCTTTTCTGTTTCTAGCAACATCATACACATATGCCAACAATTTTTTTTCATTCACATGTGTTTTCTTTGTTCTTTTCAGCGGGAGATCACACGTTTTCTATATGGAAAAAATGTGCATCCGAGGGTGAGCTTAGCGGTGCGGAAGACCTATTTGGCGTAGAGATGACATTTTGTTTTTTGTTTCTTTTCTTTTTTTACTTTTATTGGTGAGACAATGCGCACCTAGTGAACTACCTTAAATGGGTTTGTTTGGAATTTTTTTATGTTTGTGGTTTGAATTAGCGAGATCGTATCCATGTCACTGCTACCTACACAATCACTCTTTTGTTTTAGTATATACTCCATGTATTTTTGGCGGTTATTCATGATCATTTTTTAGGTGTAAAGTTCCTGATGCAAAATGCAGCTAAATCACACGGGAGTTGCCTCATCTTAATACTAGACTTGCCTTATTTCTTTCCTGTAGGTGTATCAAGCTGCAGAGTGGATATGTATCCTTTTTTTTCTAGTTTCCAGTTGCTCCATGCATACAATAGAGTTGGCTAAAAACCGAGGACTAGTTGCGCATTTTTTACAGGCATCTTAAACCCTATATCTTATGGGAGTTGCTTGGATTTTTCTTTTGTTTACCTGCAACCTATAGTTGCCCAGCTTTGTACTATGCTCTTCTTCACCTCTTTTTCACCATAGTTTTGGCAAAAGTCGAACCAAGTGGGGATTGGGGCGTAAACCAATGAGAGAGGGGTGCAGATCAAAGATCAAGGGGTGAGAGGGGGCAGATTTTTGGGGTTCTTACCTTTTGATTGAAGATGCCATAGATGGGGGGAGCTATGGCTGGTTCTTTTCATATTTGTTTAGGAGCAAGAAAGGAGGAGCCAGCACGAAGATGGAGCAGGTGGGGTGTGGGCTTGCTCTTCAAGAAAAAGAGAGAGAGAGTCGCGTGAGAGGAGCGGGGAGGGGACCAGCTGAGGCACCTGAATGTGTGAGCGCGAGGGTGAGGCGGGCGCGAGGACCATGAGCCTAATCTGAGCGCGGGGGCTGGAGGGACTAGGCGTGGGCAGGGGTTTCCTTTTTGGGCTGTCGGTATGGCGCGCTTAGCCACTCCTTCCATACCTGAAAGAGCGCTTGCTCCCGCAAACAGACGTCCGGGCACCACCTCATATCCAACTTTATATCTCACAACATATTAATTTTCATTCTCTCTCTCTAATTACCTACAACCAAACAAGATGTAATAGAGGTGAACCTACCCAACCCAGTTCAATAAGAAAAGAAAAAAACATAACCCAGCTACCTCGTCGCTTTTTCTCATCGATCAACAAACCAAAAGATGCTACTCCCATCAGTTGTACTGGACACAAGGCCACAAAGTAGAGTTCGTCAGTCAACACTTTAGCATGACCCATGCATAGCCCCAACGTGATGCCCCACATGCCATATAGAATCGATGTTAGAAAAAATAGGTTCGAATTGAGAAGCGGGATCTTCTGCAAGAGGCAGACGCTTGAGGAGAAAAAATATGGTTCGGTGCATAAAGCTGAAAAAGTTAAAATGAAGAATAGAGATGTATGTGTAGTGAAGTTTACTTTTTTTATGAGGCACACTAGTTGAAGAGAGAAAAATATCAATATAGATGTCTACCTGCCCTCACTTCATCTCCACAAGCCGCCGTCTAAGAGGAAAAAAGGGTTCGCCTCCACAGCTCCCACTCTCCCAAAACCCCACCCCGCCGATTGCTCCCGCTGCCTCACCGCCGCGCTAGGCTCGCCGGCTTCCGGGCCACCGCCGATCGCTCCACTCCCAGCGCAGGTTATTTCTACTCCCCATGCTTTGGTTCCCCTACCTTACCCGTGCAGCATTTCAATTTTCCCTCTTCTCGTCTTTTGGTTGCGACAAAATTTTGGTCGATGGGTGCTGCTTTGATAGTACGCTTGGCTCACCACTACTTCCGCATGAGCATTCTCGTCTTGCGCGTAGGCGTGGGTGGATCCTCGACGCATCAGCCGCCGCCACCATGCCACGAGGTTGCCGGACGGTGGTTGCGCGTAATCGTAAATGTGGTACCAAATTGTGAACGGAGGTGGTGGGTAGTGGCCTCGCGAGATGCAAATGGGAACGAATTTTACTTCCGCCCCCCTTTTATTAGCCCTAGGGTTCGTAATTTAGCCCTAAATCGGGATGCTCTTAAGAGGATTAGTGTCCGTACTTAAGTAGAGTGGCGTCCATGCTGCAACAACGCAATGTTTTCCATGCGCTACTACTAGTTTTATGGTCTGATGGTCAAGGCAGTTCTTCAAAAAGGTTCTTTTGTGGGTGCTCGCACAGGAGAGCAGGTAAATGCTTACCAAAATTCGGATATCCTGTGGAGTTGCTTAAAGTCCTGGCAAAAATAAAAATAAAAATGGTGTTGGTTAAAGGATATCAGACTAAGAATGTGCAGGGGTACTGCAATTTTTCGTCAACACAGAACTTGAGGCTTGAAATACTGACCTCAACCATCATAATCAAAGTGGTTTACCACTACTACATGGTCTCACCAAAGATTCGGACTTGCCGTCAAGGTTGCTCTGAAGATAGGATAGAACTAGTCAACTACACTATTAACATTGATTAAGTTGCTTGGGATATGATTTTGTGTGTAATATCAGTCTTCTAGATTGATGAATCTATGTCATGAAGAATTTTAAGATTGATGAATGCAGAAGTGTGAACACTGTAATTTTACATTTATGCATTGTTCTAAGAGATGATCTATACAGAAAGTAACATTCAACTATGTCTTGTTAGGAAACTCCAATTTTCTTTAATTCAATCTAAGGTAACCTATTGTGCTGGAGGCGGTTTTAGGCTTTTAGCGTAATCTGTTCCAAACCTGAAACTAAGGTGGTTATTGAATTTAATCTAGACAAAGGACCAGTTCCATTTCCATCCGTTTGAGTCATGCCATTTGTGATACATTTGATAGTAGTACTGCCCCAAGCAAGTTGGGTTAGTCTACATTTTTTTTGAAGTAAAACATCCTCTTTATTTATTAGAAATAATGGTTACATCGCCTATAAGAAAATTTACAATATCATTCATAGGTTCCTCGAACCAATCCCTTGTCTCAGAAAATTTAGCTAATCTAGCAATTTCATGAGCTACTTTATTTGCCTCCCTATTACAATGTTCAAATCTAATTAACGGAAAATCACAAGCCATAAAATAACAATCATCAAACACAGCAGCCTAATTCTTTTCACATGCCAACCACATCAGAATCAAGGGTTATAATTTTGATTTGGATGTTTTAATGTTATTTTAGTCACCTAGGTTGTTAATAATAATACATGCTTAGAAGATCATGAAGGGGAGCCTTGGCGCAGTGGTAAAGCTGCTGCCTTGTGACCATGAGGTCATGGGTTCAAGTCCTGGAAACAGCCTCTTACAGAAATGTAGGGAAAGGCTGCGTACTATAGACCCAAAGTAGTCGGACCCTTCCCTGGACCCTGCGCAAGCGGGAGCTACATGCACCAGGTTGCCCTTTTTTTTTTAATGAAAGTTCTTTCATGGCCAAGAGGCGAGAGTCATGATGGTCTATTCAAGTGTTTATCGTCAGCTTTGAGAAAGAAGAAGAGATAAAAAAAAAACTCTAGGGTTTGACAATTGAACTTATCATATTTACAACATTACTACTGTTCATCTACCATGAAAGACAACACCAAACATATACACATCAAATTCCCTATTTGGTCCACATCATGTTCTCGCTCACAAGGTTGAGTAATATTGGACTTAGCGCGTCATATGCTTTATGTAAGTCAGTCTAATTACTTCACCAAGTGGATGGATACTCTACAGTCCATGCGACGATAATTTTTCAAAGAGTGTCTTAAAGCAGCTGCTCACCCACACAAAACAAGCGGCTGCTAAGAAGTTTACTTGTCAGATTCCAGCGATTTGGTTTTCTTCTTTTATGGACTTGCTCCCACTAAGTTTGTGATCCAATTTTCTTATTATTGTTTATGCTTATGTAGCCAAATTTAAAACCTGCATACACCATGATCTATCTAATACTCCCTCCGTTTTTATTTAGTCCGTGTATTAGCTTTGGTCAAAGTCAAGCTTTGTTAACTTTGACCAAGTTTGTAAACAAAAATTACATATACAATAACAAATCAATATCATTAGGTTTATTATCGAATGTATTTTCACATTATATAGATTTGTTATGGTAAATGTTTATATTGTTTTCTATAAACTTGGTCAAACTCTAATATGCAGAGTAAATAAAAACAGAGGGAGTATCTACCTTTGGTTGCTATTCCATCTTTCATGTGTTCATCATGCAACTCGTCCTACTTAACACTGCCTTCAGGAAGGCCTAGGACTTGGTTAACCAGAATATGGCATAGATGTTGGTCACAAGTTTAGGCCAGTAACAAAGGTATTTTTAAATTACTGTGTTGCTGAGAATGCACTGTTTCTTAAGTCTGTCATATCTTGTTACATTCTACTACGTGATAAATAGTTTTTTTGTTTTATTCCATTTATCCTGGCATGCATACTGGCATATGTAGGTGGTATAGTAGTTCATCTGCATATAATCCTTGTTGTGGAATTTACATAACTATGTATTTATCAGATCATAATAAAGGTTTTATCAGTTGTACATTTCTGTTACCAACAGTTGCTTATTCTTTTCTATATCTACAGGGTGCAAGCGTTATGTGCTGCAAATTCTCTTTGCATATTGTTGTTGCATAAAGAGATCAGAAGGTTTAGATCTGCTCTTACTAGATCGTCATTAGAAACCTGTTATTTGGAGCATATTAATGCCAGGCTGCTAGTAGTATATCTGAAGGCTTTTGTGGCAATTTGCTAGATAATTTGATGGAGTGCAACAGAGAAGAGGCGTTGAGGGCCAGAGAAATAGCTGCAAAAATGCTGGAAAGCAAAGACTTTCTTGGGGCTAGAAGGATTGCACTTAAAGCTCAAAGGCTTTTTCCAGGGTTTGAGAACATACACCAGCTGTTAACTGTCTGTGAAGTGCAATGTGCAGCAGTTGCAAAAATTAATGAAGACTTAGATTGGTATGGTATTCTCCAGGTGGAGGCAACAGCAGATGAGACAGTCATAACAAAGCAATATGAGAAACTTGCCTTTTGGCTCCATCCTGATAAAAACACACTCTCTGGTGCTGAAGTTGCTCTGAAGTTGGTCTCAGAAGCTCGCAAGATACTGTGTGATCGCACGGAGCGGTCTTTGTATGACGTCAGAAGGCAGTATGCTTCCAAACATGTGACAAGCAAAGCTACACAGCTACCAAATAAGACTGGTGGAAATGAAAGTCATGTGGATGGATGCAAACAACCACCTGCTTTTGTACTGGTGTTCTGGACTATATGCCCGCATTGTCGGAGGCGATTCGTGTACTACAAAAAGAACTTTTTGGTCACCTGTGACCACTGTGGTAAATTGTTCTTTGCATTCAAGCTGCATGAACAGACAATGCCCTCGAGTTTCCTATCTCATTCAGCAAATAATGCTGAAGTTTCACCTGGGAAGATTTCATGTCAACAACATGGCGTCACCAATCAACAGGCCCAGACAGGGGGGAACATTTACTCTGAACCTACCATGAATGCTACTCAAATTGATGAACATAGAGAAAGGATTGACAGGGCAAGCGGTGATGAGGAAGGTAACTGTTCAGAGACAAGAAGCGATGTAGTTCAGCTTTCAGCAATGAACCAAGCTAAATCTTCTGCGCCTGCTGCAGGCAAGGAATCAGTTAGCAATTTGACATCAGCTCATCCTGATCCGAACTTCATTTCCGCACAGAACTTTAGAAGTGAAGATGCATCTCTAGTGCCAAATATTGCAAGGTCCTCCAGCCTTCAGAAATTAGGTAAGAGAAAGCAAGATGATGGCCCAGACTGCAGCCACGGCACAGACTCCTCTAATTATAAGATGCAAAGGAACCATGACTCACCATCTAGTGCTTCTGAGCAAATGTTTAATGACAATGCTGCTGTTGCTGAGAATCAGTCTGCTGAGCATCATGCCTTAAGTAGAGTGGATAGCCAAGGTGGAGTAACTGCAAGTCGTGAAGCCAATCAGCAAAGTTACAAGGAAGCAAGTGGTAGTGCTCCTCAGAAGCTTGGCAGTCCTGTGATTACCTATCATCATCCTGACTTTTTTGACTTTGGCAAGATCAGAGATATAAACCTGATTGCAGTTGATCAAATCTGGGCCCTTTATGATAACCTTGATGGCATGCCAAGAGATTATGCTCAGGTAAAGCACATTGATACTTCTGAATTAAGAGTTCAGCTGACATGGCTGGAGTACAATCCAAGGAATGAGCAAGAAGCCAATTGGAATAATAAGGAATTGCCTGTATCTTGCGGAAGCTTCTGCTTAGGAGGAGAAACAACAACCCTATTACAAGATCCATCCACATACCTGTCTCACAGAGTTCCATTGACAAGAGGCAAAAATGGGAACTCCTACCAAATAAATCCTAATAAGGGTGAGGTATGGGCTCTTTATAAAAGATGGAGCATGCAATGGAGCTCCGATGCAGATAAATGTCGATCCTATGGATATGATGTCGTGGAAGTTATCTCTGATGGCTCAACGAATGGCGATGTCATTGTTTCGCCGCTAATGAGGATTGAAGGCTTTGTTAGTCTTTTTGCACACGCTAAGGACAAACGCTACTTTTCGATACCATCAAGTGAGCTACTGAGATTTTCGCACTGTATCCCCTTTTATAGAACACATGGAAATGAAAGGGTGGGCGTTGCAGAAGGACTTCTGGAACTGGATACAGCAGCTCTTCCAAGTGACCTGGAAACAGCATTTCCTTCCATTACTCTCGACTCCTACATGTCTTCGGAACTCATTTCTTATCCATATCCAGAATCTGAATTCCACAACTTCGAAGAAGACCGGTCATGTGAGAAGTTTGAAAGTGGCCAAATTTGGGCTATCTACAATGACACTGATACATTCCCGAATGTGTATGGTTGGGTGAGCAAAGTTGAGATACAACCGTTCGAAGTGCATTTGACCTGGCTCCAGGCCTGCCCTCAACAGGCGCAGGGGAAGCTGTGGTTGGGGCAGAATGTACCTGTGAGCTGTGGCAAATTTAAAATACGAAGCTGGCAAGCCAAGTATGGTAGAAACCACCCCTTCTCTCATTTGGTAGAAAATAGCCAAATCGATATGAACTGGCAGGTTAAAATTCTTCCAAAAGTCGGTGAAGTTTGGGCCATCTACAAGAACTGGTCACCTGATTGGGTTCCTTCCAGCAACAAGCACACTACTGATTATGCTATCGGGGAGATCGTCGAGTGCAGTAAACGAAGCACATTATTTTCTTTTCTGACTAAAGTTGATGGCTATGTCGCTGTGTTCAAGCCTGACCTTACCAAGGGAGTACTGAAAATACCTAGGAAAGAGAACCTGAGGTTTTCTCACCGAATTCCATCATTCCGTCTCACAAAGGAGGAAGGCGGCAAGCTCCGGGACTTCTACGAGCTCGACCCAGCTTCTGTCCCTGGCGATTTTCTATAGAAGAGCGCCCCCTTGAATTGACACTTGCCTTTACCGAGGGCAGCAAGAGGGAATTAACCTAAGGATATAACTATACAGTGTTTTGTGTTTTGTGCCTGAACCTAGGGCGCAGTATATGCTGGCTAAATGTGACCATGCATGCTAAGTTTCTTTCGGGGTCTCTTAATTTAGTCAGTACTGTTGGCAGTCATTGTTGAACTGAAAGTAACTCACAGTGAAGCAAGTGGTGTTTGTTGGATGCTATGAAGCTGTTGGGCCATGGATTGATGCATGCATGCCCCATATTGTTGTTGTTTGCTTCATAATATTCCTGGTTACGTATTTGTGTCATACTTGTGTGCCAGTCCAAATGTAGGTGTGAAGTTCTTCCACAGTCGGCATGTAGTCAGTCAGTGACCGCTAAGATTGGGCACACTTGTTTTGATGCACTGAAAATTTACAGGCTCCCTGCCTTTCAGAGCAACTCCAACGGGCCGACCCAAACGGACGGCGATTTCGTTCATTTTTTGTCCGTTTGGGTCGGCCAGGCGGACACGGACGTCCGCTTCCGTGTTTGGGTCGGCGTATGCGCCCAATGCGCGCCCGACCCATTTTGACGGCGCCGACAAAAAAAAAAAACTATGCACGTGTATTTGAACTGAAACTAACTTAATTAAACATTAAAGCTGGCCAGGAAGGCCGGCGAGAATCCACGTGTCCATATTAGCATTAAAAAATTTTAAAAACAACCTAACTACGAGGCGGCGCGCTGCCCAGCGCACCCTAGGTGGCGGTGTCGTCGTCGTCCTCGGGGTCGGTGAGGTCGATGAGCGTCGGCGGAGGATCGGCCCAGGGGAACGCCGTGGCCCATGCGGCGGCGACGTAGTTCGGGGGTAGCTGTTTCGGCGGGGTTAGTGCCGGCGCGGGGGGTTGTGCCGCCGCCTGTGCAGCCGCGGCCTGGCGCGCCTCCTCCTCAAGGTCGCGCTCGAGCATCTCCTCGTACTCGCCTTGACGCCGCTCCTCGGCCAGCCGTCGCTGGCGCTAGTGCTCGAGGTAGGCCGCCTCCTGCACCGGGGTCGCCTCCATCCAAACGGGCGACGCGGACACCCACTCGCGCACCACCCCCGTCCAGGAGAAGCTCGCGATCGAGACCGGCTTCGGCTCCGGCTGCGGCTCCGGGTCGGCCTTGACAAGGCGTCGGGGAGGGGACGGCGGCGCCACCGGTGGCACCACGCAGTCGTCGGCCGCGGAGAGGGCCATGGCCTGCGCCATGGCCGCCTCGTACCGAGCCTCTTCCTCTTCAGCCGCCTCCGCCCTGCGCCGCTTGTCCTCCTCGCTCTCCCGGTAGACGGCCACAAGGGCCGCCTGGTAGGCGTCCTCTGCCGCCTGGTCTTCCTCCCTGACGACAAGCGGCGGCGGCGGCACGCTGCGATCGACCTCCCGCACGCTGCGCCGCCTCGCCTCTTCGTGCTTGAAGGCGAACCAGCGCGCCCAGTTGGGCGAGTCGAAGGCGCACGCCTCGTCGCGGTGCTGCTCCGGCGTCAGTAGCGCCCGCCGGCGGCGCACCTCCTCCGCATGCGTCCTAGCCGACCGCGGCGCCGCCGGCACTGGGATCCTTTCTGGATCCAGATGCCAGTCGTGCGGCAGCGTCACGTCGGGATAGGGCAGGGGCACGAGGTGGCGCCAGTGCCACTCCGCCTGGTGCACGGGCACGTTCACCCGCTGCCTCTGCCGACGAGCCGGCGCAGGCGGAGGCGGGGTGAACTCCGCGGGGAAGGGGACGACGGGGGTCTTGCCCTTCGACTTGCTGCCGCTGCCGGAGAAGAGCCCCATTTGGGCGGCTGGGGTGGCTAGGGTTTGGTTGCCGGCGACGGGGGAGCGAGCGTGGCCTAGATGGGGATGGGAAGTAGATGAGGATGGCCCCGCCACACGGTCGGCTTAAAAAAGGACGACCTCCGTCGCTGACGCGTGGGCCCGGGGTCATAAATTAAGCTGACCGACGAGGGGGCGGGTGGTTGGGCGACCGCCAGATGGGGCCACGGTGGACGTCGAGAAGGCGCGCGTGGCGTCCGTTCCGCGTCCGCGCCGACGCATTTGGGGCGCAAATTTGGGCCGCAAATGCGTCGGCGCGGAGGCGAAACGGACGCGTTTTGGGTTTGGATCGGCGCGTTAGGCCTCCATTTTTGTCCATGCCGACCCAAACGGAGGACGCCGGACGAAATGGGTCCCCCGTTGGAGTTGCTCTTACTGCTTATACTTGTGCTGGTGCATGTCCGGAAGCATATCTCTGCTTGAGCATCCGGATATTCAGGTTGGACTAGAAGGAACTTACCATTCAAGAACATCTGCAAGAATTTAGTAGAAACGTATCAACAAGCCCCCAGCTTGGGGTTGGCACGACCGCACGCAGCACGCAGCTGCATCAACCGCTGAAGAAACGATCGATGAGGCTTTGGTAGTTAAGGTCCGTGCAAATTTTTGTGGTGTTTGAATATCTGAGGAGCTCGTGTCAAACCAAACAAATTTCAGGTGTGTGAAAAATTAAAAAAAGAACACTGTTTGGGGCTGATTTATTATTATTATTATTGGTACGAGCTTCTCATATGTTCAAACATCACGAAAATCCGCACATGAGCATCTTGGATGCCTAAAAATTTCTGTTTTTTTATTATTTTCTTTAATTTACTGTTCACCGGATGTAGATGAACCTGGGCACTGTTTCGAACTATCACAAAACAGAGCATTGCATTAAGTACTTTGATAGTATAAGGTTGACAACCTCTTTCTGAAAAAAAAGAGGTTGACAACCCCTTATCCCTACACCTACATCCATTGATGGGTGCGGATCGATTATCTTTTTATCCTTAGTGGTGAGGATATACTGCGAGTTTCTATGCTTATTGTCACCGCAACTAATCACTCATAGTCATAGAGATCAACCTAAACTAATGTATGCTATCCCATCTTGCAGATCTTTCGTATATAGATATATAAGCTCTCCCATCTAGTTGTTTGTCCTGATACTTAAAACATCAATCCTAGAATTTTTGAAAATTTTGGGCTTCAGGGAGCCCAAGAGCCAAAAAGCCCAAGAGCGTATATATCTATATATCATGCAAAAAAAAAAATCAAGGCAAAATTCATATAGAATTCGATTGTCAACAATTCATCAAACCGCATAAAAGATACCACGGATTACATCAAATTGATCACAATTATGTTAGACAGACATCTGATATTTGTAATGAAGAACGGACAGATGAACACATAGTCCAAAGAATAACTACTCACGCATCACCATGGGGGTAGTAATGGCAAGGAAGAAGATGAGGATGATGATTTTTCACTCCAACTGAAAAAGAAGTCTAGAATGGATTGTCTACGAACACGTCGAAACGGCGTTGAAAAATCTTGTTGTATTTTGGCGTGGGTTTTTGAGGTATATATAAGTCATCGGAAGGAAGAAGTGTCATACGTGGTGCCCAGGGGCCCCACATGCTCCTACACAAAGCCCAAGATTAGAGCGCATGCACCAAGTGTGTGGGCCCTGCCCCCCGCCCCCCCCAACAAAGTCTTCATCATATTTTCCCATTTTTTAGATCTTCATAAAGAACCTTTTTTCATAAAAAAATGCTTTTTTCTGTTAAACCAAAAATACTAAAAAAGTAGCAACTCGCAGGGTTGCACTTTATTAATAGGTTAGTCCACAAAATGAAAAAGAATGTTTAAAACATGTATTAATGACATGAATATGACACAGACGCTTCAAAAATTGCTCACGGGCTTGAAACGTATCAACATTCTCAAGCTTAATCCACACTCCTCCTCGAGTATGTAGATGATAAAGAAACATTTTTTGAAGGTGAATGCTAACTTAACATAACCATGATGATGACGCGATTCTCTATCTGAATGTGAACAATTAGATGAAGGATAGAAGGCATTTGTGTATAGTTAACAATTATCAAACTGTTTCAACGCGAATACACAAATTCCCTACTACCCTTCCATAAATCAATGCATCGAGTCAACATTCATAGTTGCCGTAGGTATAGAAAGAATGTCAATATTATGTTGAAAACTAAGCTTCGACCTATGTAAGACATCACAATGTTTAGTGAAAATGTTATCATAAGTCAGCACCAAGGTTGACTAAGTACAATAATTGTATGACCTTTCTGCATATTATCCAAGCAACCACTCATGCAACATGTGAGACAAGTCTGGACCTTATTACCTTAACATATATATGGAAAAGATAATAACGATGGGAGTTGATAAAAGTAAAAAGTGGAGGAAGTCTGCATCGACGTAACTGATCATTAGGCAATGAACATGCCTTATCATCAATGTTAATACAAGAAGTAGGGATTGCCATGCAGCTAGTATGTTGATACGTCTCCGTCGTATCTATAATTTTTTATTGTTTCATGCCAATAGTCTACAACTTTCATATACTTTTGCAACATTTTATATTATATTTGGGACTAACATATTGATCCAGTGCCCAATGTCAGTTCCTATTTGTTGCATGTTTTTTGTTTCACAGAATATCCATATCAAACAAATTCCAAACGTGATAAAAAATTATGAAGATTTATTTTGGAATATATGTGATCTTTGGGAAGAAGAATCAACGCGAAACGATGCCTGAGGGGGCCACAAGCCCAGAGGGCATGCCTGGCAGGCTTGTGGGTCCCCTGTAGGTCGGTTGAAGGTATCCTTTGGCCGCAGAAATATAATATCCGGATAAAAATCCCATTAAAATTTCAGCCCAATCGGAGTTACAGATCTCCGGGGATTTAAAAAAGGTGAAGGGCCAAAAAAACAGGAACGGAAAACAAAAGAGCACACACACACACACACACACACACACACAGAGAGAGAGAGAGAGAGAGAGATCCAATCTCGGAGGGGCTCCTGCCCTCCAGGAGCCATGGAGACCATGGATCAGAGGCGAAACTCTCCTCCCATCTAGGATGGAGGCCAAGGAAGAAGAAGAAGGAGGGCGGCTCTCTCCA